CGTATGTACTGAAATGCAGCAGTCAGTAGCAGCGACCGCGGCACAACAAAAAGTCTGATTCTCAACATGAACGGCAGGAGAAGAGCAAGTCCCCATCTCCCAGATAACACCCTACGCATCAGGAGACGGCCACACCTTCCGCCCGTCAAACCAGGTGGCCTTGATCTCGCCCTTGAGCAGACCTTGCGGCGTCCAATCCATCTCCGCCACCACGAAGTCCGCGCGCTTGCCAATCTGCAAAGAACCCGTCTGATCCTCCGCAAACACGCTCTTTGCAGTTCCGAATGCGCCCGCCGTGATGGCCTCGCACACACCCAACTTGAAGTGCTCGTTGACGACCACATCGTATCCCGGCTCCCTGGCGGACCGCCGCGTCGTCGCGACGTAGGCGTTTTGCAGCGGCGCCCAGGGGGCCGTGGGGCTGTCGCTGCCGAGTGCGAGCAGCGCGCCGTGGTCTGCGAACTCGCGGTAGGCAAAGGCGCGCTCGCAGCGGTGGGCGCCAATGAGGCGCGGCCAGGCGCGGAGGATGGCCGGGTCAGCGTGGACGGGCTGGATCGAGGCCGTGAGACCCAGCTCGCCCAGGTGTTTTGCGTCCTCGGGGGATGCCATCTCGATGTGCTCGAGGCGGTGGCGGCGGCCAGGCGTGGCGTGGTTGGCGAGGGCGTTGACTGCGTTCTTGATGGCTGCGTCGCCTATCGCGTGCAGGGCGATTTGCAATCCGGCGGCGTCTGCCCTCGCGACCACGGGACAGAGCCACTCGGCGCTCCAGAAGGGCGGGGGGGAACCCACCTCGGCATAGGGCTCTGACAGGTGGGCGGTACAGGCGTCGATGATGCCGTCGGTGATGATCTTGATGCCTACGATGCGCAGGTCAGGGGAGGTGGCCTTGTTCAGCTCGTTGTGGAGTTCAATGGCCCGATCGACCTGCTTGAAGCGCTCCTCCTCGGATTCGGATGGTTTGATGAGCCAGTAGGCGTGGATGCGCATGGGCAAGTTGGGCTCCTCGGCGCGGAGCGAGCACGCTGCGTCCCATGCCGGCTCGTCCATGGCCATCTCAATCAGCCCTGTGTAGCCTGATGCGTTGTAGGTCTGCACGGCATCCTTCATGGCGTCCATCCGATCTCTCTTGGGGGCCACCTGGGCGAGATGAGGCCACACGATGGTGAGCACGGCGGCCTCGCTGAGGAGACCCGTCGCTTTGCCCTCGGCGTCGCGGTGGATCTTGCCTCCTGACGGGTCCGGCATGTTTTCGATGCCGAGCTCCTTGATGGCGGCTGTGTTGCACCAGGTCGAGTGGAGGTCCTTTGTGTCGATGAAGATTGGTCGGGGGTCAATGTCGTCAAGCATGGTCTTGTCGACGCCGTCGGGAGTCATGGAGTGCATCCACAGCTTGCACATGATGCGCGGGACGTCCGGGTTGGCGACGGCGTATGCCTTGATGGCGGCGCGTATCTCTTCCAGTGACGTGCAATTTTCGAGGCTCACTTTGCGCAGCGACTGGCCGAGGAGGAGGAGATGCACGTGGCCGTCGATGAAGCCCGGCAGGACTGTTCTGCCTTCCAAGTCATGCGTGGTGACCTCTCCCGATGTGTGTTTTGCCTTGAGGTCCTCTGTTGTGCCAATGTTCTCAATAATGCCGTTGGCGACGAACATGCTCTCGGCAAAGGTGGGCTGTGTCTCAAGGCCGGCTTCGGCGTTGTGCAGAAAGATGCGCCCGTTGACGAAGAGCTCCCCTCCGCCTGCTACTTGATTTGCAGTTTGCGCCATGATTGTGATGTTTCTATCCTTGCGTTTGCGCCCAATTCCGTATGCTCAAGATGCTTTACTAAAGAGGAAATCCGTTTGCGCCTATGTGTGTCGTTGCAATGTGTCGTTATTGACTCGGGTGGTGTGAGGGAGGGATATGGTCGGCTTTGCTGGTGAGGGGCAGCCCGCCTCGGCCTGCGTCGCTGCGGATTGCGGACCGCGGGGTTCGCATGGTGGGGTTGCGCTGGGAAGGATCTGATAAGATCTGATATGAGTTCTTCTCCACACCGCCCCTGGTCACTTATCTTATCTCGGTGGACTCGGTCAAGGGACGGTGAAGGATTCGCTTCACCGTGGTGAATGTGTTGATGCCTTCTTCATCCAGCACCGCGAAATAGGAAGGACTCGAGAAGGGAAAGAACCACCGGTAGCAAAACTAGACTGTACAGTGAGCCGATCCAGAGCCAGTCGCGGCAACCTTCCTCATGGTCCATATAAGAATTGAGGCTATTCCCACTTGAGCCCTGGATATCTTGGAAAATCGACCTGACACTTGAGCCCCGACTTCTACCTTACCGAAAGACGGTCTTGCAACTTTTAACATCATCTTTCAGATACCTCTTGGTATTTCTTCGAACGTCGGTCGAACCTTCCATGTCTCTCTCGAAACCTTTGAGATTCCTTGTCTCTTCGGGGTAAGGTACTTGCTGCCCACACTTGCTTAGGTTCCATTGCTCCTTCGTTCACATCCTGCCAGACTTCGAAGGCAATTCCCAGTTACAACAGGTATTTAACCACACCGATACTCTCAGCCTCACTTCCCCCAGACAACTTCAACCCAACCACAACTTAAGTACCTTTCCCCAAATTCCTCCAAATTCAACATTCTCTTCTTCTTCTTACTCTTCATTCAACCATACTACCTTCCAATTTCTTCATCATCGTCAACATCTGGCATCGCACCTTGGGGTCTTAGGCAAGCCAATTCTACATCATCTTTCTGATTTGGCGCCTATCTTCATTTGGACAAGCAACTTTCTTTTTCTTCTTTGCGAGTCTTCAGGAATCACGAGGCGTTACTACAGGCTCGATCTAGCTGAGATATCTTCCTTCCCAGTTGCGCAATGGACCCCAGTCAAACAGTTGTTGGAGTGAAGAAAGAGCAGCATGATGACATCAAACCAGATGCTCCCTTCAAAGAAGAAATCAAAGTGAAGGGCGAGCAGCATGAGGAGGTTACGACAGATGCCCTTCTCAACGCAAGATCAAGATCTACTGAGCAGTGTGCTCTACTGACATTCTCATACATGGAAAAGATGAGAAGAGTTAAAGACCCAGATCTTTGGCAGCTGTTTTACCAAAAGGTTCTTCCGCTTTTGGACGGGCTCCAGCCAGCTTGCGAGACCATTTCTTCCTCTCGCAAGCTTCAACCTGCTCTGAAGAAGGCAGCGGCTCATTGGCTTGACCAAATTTCTGATCTTCGTGATCAGGCGAAGCGGTCCCACCGAACTGTCATTGGTGTCCTTGGCAACACGGGAGATGGCAAAAGCTCAACCATCAATGCTCTACTAGATGAAGAGAGGTATGATCGAACACTCATCTCGCAGGATGGAACCCAGCTGATTATTCTTAGCTTACTTCCCACGAACTGTATGCGCGCGTGCACCGCTGTCGCCACCGAGGTGTCTTACAACAATGATGAAGACGAAGAGAACCCATACCGCGCGGAAGTCGAGTTCATCTCTCGAGAGGAATGGTCCAAGGAAGTCAACATACTGCTCATGGAATTCTTCGCTGAAGAGACTGATGAGAGAAATGATTTGGACCCGGAAAGCGATGCAGCCAAAGCTTTAGCGAAAGTTCAAGCGGTCTATCCTTCATTGAGCCTGGAAGACCTGACTAGCAGCACTTCGGCCCAGCTGGCTACCCATCCAAGCGTGAACCACCTTCTAGGTACCACCATGACGGTGAAAAGCGGTAATGCGCAGGATATCCGCGAGCAACTCGAGCCCTACGTCGACTCGAACGACAAGGATGATGAGACGGCGGCATACTGGCCTTTGGTGAAGGTTGTCAGAATCTTTACCAAAGCCAGAGTGCTCGCTAACGGTGTCACAATCGTAGACTTGGTATGTTATTCTTTTGGTGGAACTCGATTTTATGGAAGGTAGCTGACATCAGGTCTGGTAGCCCGGCCACCAGGATTGGGATGCAGCCAGAGCTGCAGTAGCAAGCGAGTACATCAAGTGCTGTTCGGGAGTCTGGGTAGTGGCTCCAATCAACAGAGCTGTTGATAACAAAACAGCCAAGGACATCATGAGCAACTCTATCAAGCGTCAGCTCAAGCTTGATGGAGCATTCTCGGCTTTGACCATCATTTGCTCAAAGACTGACGACATGACGCTCAGCTCCGGAATAGAAAGCATGAAGTCGAAGTTGGACAAGGATACTAAGGCAGCATGGGGCCGGGTCCAAGCCCTAGGCCGCCGCACCGCGGCTCTGGAAAAGGAGCTCATGGTTGTCCGAGGTCGACGCAAGACATCCCGGGCCTCAACCAGCAGCCTCGACACGGGCCGCACAGCGAAGAGAGCACGAACCGAGCCGTCCGGTAAGCAAGTGGAGAGAGCCATGTTTGATAGTTCCTCTGAACTAGTCAATGATGGTGTCGTTGACTACTATCCGAATGCTGAGAAGCACGAAGAGCTTGCAGAGTTGAAAGAAGAAAAGCGAGAGCTGATGGACGAGGTTCATGCACGTCTGATTCGGAGACGCAACCAGCTTTGCCGAGATGCTGTCAGGAAGCACCTCGCTAAGGGTTTCAAAGAGTAAGTGAGATACCACGCCAGAAAGTCATTGGGACTAATCGATAACCAATTTAGTCTTGATCGGCAAGATTCAGCCAACGCCAACGGACATGGGCAAGCTGATGAGGAGCCCCGAGACTACGACGAAATGTCCGCTTTGACTCCTATCTTTTGCACCAGCAGCCTCGTTTACCAAAAGATGCAAGGTCTTGTGGCCGATAACGATGATGAGACTCCTGGCTTTGACACCGAGCAGGACACAGAAATTCCTCAGCTTCAAGCTCATGCTCAGAAGTTGACCGAAGAGCTTCGAATCGCGAAGTACCAAGAAATACTTAACAGTATATGTCAAATCCTCAACTCCATCGCAATATGGGCGCAGGACACGGCAGAGACTACAGCCACGATTGACGGGGAGCGTCTAAAGTGGATGTTGGCACGCTTCAATGCCGTGAGTACTGCTTCCATCTTGCTTTAATGAAACAAGGAATTGACACTCGGCAGGATTTGAATGGTGAGGTCGAGGATTGCCGAGACAAGTTGCACGTGGCAGCAGAGACTGGTCTGTATGAGGAGATGAAGCGCTTGAGCTCTGCTGCCAGTCGCGCGGCAGTTCCTACGGCAATTGGCTGGGGCAACATGAACTTCTCTACGCTAAAGGCAACTTTTCGCCGCGGCGGCATATGGAAGATGAACAATTTCAACGAAGACTTGTTGCGACCTATCACTGATAACCTGACAGAGACCTGGGCAAACTTCTTTCGGTTCAGTATCCCAGGCGTGCTCGACAACTTCTCTGTCTCCGCGACTCACCGACTAGGCGTGTTTCACGAGGATGTCATGAAGCAACTTGGGATCCAAGACTACGATCACGATGAATCACCCGCAATCGTGCAGCTTAGTAGGCAACTCGATCTTCACAAGTCAAAAGTTGTTAGACTTGCCGCTCAAAGTCGAATGGGAGTCGATGAGGCTCAGAAGGACGCCAACAGAGCGTTGACCACGCCAGTTGCCGAAGCGATGGCTCTTGGCTATGAGGAGTGTTCTCAGATGCGTGGTAAGTATGATTCCGTTGATCTACATGTCTTCCGGAGGTCTCTGGGAGAACCTTTTGGGTACCCATACTAATCACGTTGCAAACCAATATAGGAAAAGGATCAGTGAAGAAGGCCAAAGCCAAAATTGAGGAATATGTCCTCAACCGGAAGGTCAAGATGTTCCGCGACGCAATCGGAAACGTCAAAGACGTTCTTGGTGACGGCTTGAAGATGGTTGGTGAAGACATGGCGGCCGATATCAAAAATATTGGAGTTACTATGGAAGGTGACTATATGCTTGCGCTGGCAGAGAAGCAAGAGTCGGCACGCCTTAGAGAGCAGGCGTCTAAGCGGGAAATGCTCAAGTTCTTGGAGCATGCCGCGGAGCAATTCAGATAGATTGGCAAACGGCATTCCCGGACCTGGGGAGATGTTGGGATCGGGAGACGTCAGCGGGGAACTTCATTGATACATTAGAATTAGGCTTCATATTTATTTCAGATCGCTTCATTCACTTCGATTCAGAGGCCGATGATATTGAAAAGTGATTGCTGGATCGGCCGCCAGAATCTTCTACTAAACACATTTTCCAAGGGCGAAGACGTTGGGATCGCTAATAATATGAAATGGCGACATATAAAGGCAAAGAACAAAGGGACGATGGGAAAGAACCCGGAAACCTTTGCGGTCACGACGATACAAGGCCTGAAATGGGGAAAGCACGAATACTCTTTGAATGCAAAAAGACAACGCAGAAACAACACTTTTTTCATCATAATATTACTCAGCCGTGATATTCAGATTACCCAAGGCGGTGTAGGGCCCTGAGCGTCGCAAGGTTGTCAAAGCCCGGAAGCGGCGATTAGTAGGAGTGAAGACGAGCGAAAGGGTAGAGCATGTTGATGGCATCAAAATTTTGGGTGCCTTAACGGGTTTCCCAAACTACCTGTGCCTTGAATTTGACAAATAAACACAACAGATGGCGATACGGCATGAGGGGCAAAGGACTCTGGCTGGACGAATTACTTGAGTCGAGAGGTAGGCATTTCCTAGTTGTGGGTTAGTGATGTGATCCAGCTTCCGCTTGACCTTAACGCAGCGATTCCGCAAACAATTTTCTCTGGTAGTGTATCTTGTCAACTGCTAGATGGCGCGGTTTCATATGAAAGTACTTTCCTAACGAGTGATGCAGGATTCTGTATCTGTCATGCCATTTTTTCCCTTTATATCCGCTTACGAATTAATTTGGGGGGCAAATTGAAGTTGGAGAGAGGCTAGAGACGGACGTACTAGCGCCTGAGGGCAGAAGATGGGATAGAACCATGGCGAAAATAAAAACAATGTAGCGCCTCCTTACTTCCACCCGTCGTTGCTGTTCATATGGACTGGACTCAAATCTTTGTCATTCTTCTCTTCCCGAAGCTTTGTTAGGTGTCAAAAATGGGTGAGTGCCATTGTGATTTCTCATTCAGCTCCAAAAGAGATTCTAGCCATCACTAATCTTGAATCAAGAGCCTGACTCAACGTCTTGATGTCATCAATTATACATTTGCTAGCAGGTACTTCATGCCGTTCCACTGCTCAATCGCACTGGGAAGGATTTGAGCAGCAGGAAGAACAAACCCACCACCAGCAGATCCAGAGGGTCTCAGCTCAATAGTCCAAGCGACTTCAGCGCCAGCAGCGCCAGTGAGGTAGTCCGGAGCGCTACCAGTGGTGGCATATAGAGTCGAGCAGCTAGGTCCGTAGGTGAAGCGAGTGCCGTAGGCCTGGGCAATGGTGTTGGCAGTGTTTGTTGCGAGAGTCATCTGGCGGGCGTGGTTGGAGGCTCGGGCAGAGCAGTCGTAGCCGTAGGGCAGGAGGATGTACTGGCCGTAGCTGTGCCAGTCGATGAAGAGCTTGATTCCGTTGCCGGCGGCGAGGCGGTCGGTGTAAGCCTTCAGGGCGACCATCTCAGGGGTGTCGCCGGCGGCCTGGCCCTTGTATGTCTCGGAGCAGTAGTTAGTCGAGGCTCCGCCGGGGAGTTGCCAGTTGAAAGGCCAGTTGCTACTGGGCGTCAGTTCTGATTCTCGTAATCAATGAAGTGATGGACGCACCGGTTGATGTCAGTACCGACGCAAGTGCTGCCGGATCTGACTTGACGGTTCTTGCGCCAAAGGCGGTCGTTTGTCTGAGTGTAAGCAAAGCCTTGGTGAAATCAGCTATTTGGTCAAAGGGCGACGGTTCATTGATCGATGCGTCTTACCGTCAGGGTTGACAATGGGCAGAATGTAAAAGTCGTACTTGTCAAGGAGAGCCTTGACAGCGGCATCATTCTTCTGGTAGCCATCGATGAGCTGGTAGGTGAGGTATTCGACAACCTGTCGCATATCAATTAGCAACATGAATCATGTCTACATCAAATTTCGACAACGTACCATGGTGGTGATCCACTCGCGAGCGTGGACGGTGCCGTGCCAGTAGATGGCAGGCTTGGAGCCCTTACCACCGCTACCCCACAGGTGGATACCGAGGAGGGAGCGTCCGCCGTAAGAGTTACCAGCGTTGATCAACTCGGAGTTGGATGGGAAGTTGGATTGCAGATCGCGGATGAACTGCTGGTGGTCGGCAAAAGTGTGGTACGAGTCAAACCACGTCAGGCTGGGGAGAGCCTGAAGAGAGATATCGTCGTTGCCTGTTCAATGTCAGACCAAGTCTTCTTGACCGAATCTTCTTTAAAGTTCGGCATGGAGAGACGTACTCTTGTAGGGAGCAAACGTGCCCTCTTCGGCGATGTCAGCACCAAGGTCCTCGTGAAGGATGGATGTCTCGAGACCAAGCTCCTCAAACTTGGAGACATCGCCAGCGGGGATTGCAACGTCAAGGTGCTCGCTGTTGTCGAGATTGAATGGGATCGCCGCAATGTTGGCAATCTTCTTCTTGATCGACGCGGGGTCGTTATGCGTGGAAATACGGAAGGCCTTGAAGCCATCGTAGGTGATCTTCTTCTCGAGAGGGACCACAGCCGCGGCGGATGCCAGCGGCAGGACGAGGGACAGACCAGCGAGGAACTTCATTGTCAACGGCAGACTCCAAAAACGGCTTGGCGGTGCAGTGAGCTGAAGACTGGAGTGCTAGAGAAAAGCTGGGATAGCGGGAGCGATCACCCGTCTCTATTTATGGAGATCAGATGGTAAAGCAAATTGCTGATGTCACCAGTTGAAGTCTTTCGGTAAGCTATTTCGACGCAGTGTCACCAACGGCCTTTTGCAGAAAGTGGTAGGTGTGATTGCTGCTGTCTTGGTAGTACCCTGATAAGCTCTGGGGTTGCGGTCTAATCCCAGCATCCCCGCGAGACTATGGCCCCGGTCACTCGGCTTACAATTCCATAGTCAATTCTACCAGATTCGGTTGTAGCCATACAGGTTCGAAATATCAGGGCTTTGCCATACGTCGCTAGCCTTCCCGAGGACATGGCCTGACCAGTTCGGGTGCAACAAACCAGTCGTCAAGGGTCCGACCAGCCACTGCCGTGACAATAACTCCACCTCGGAGTAGGGATGAACACTCTGGGGCTTGCATGCCTAGCTCGGGCAGCTGCTATTCCAGTGAGGAGCTATGAGTTGGTCAGGCGTCGGGCTGTCAGTCGAGGACCTTTGCTAGCTTAGTGCAAACCTTGAATAACATCTGAGTTTGACTGTAAATGTTATCTGATCACCTTCCTTACCTGGATATGGAGAGAGATTAGCGAGCCTCACTCAAGGGCAAAGCCTACATAAGTCTTTTCCCCAAGACATCCGGCTGATGATTTGCAGACAAGTCAGAATAGAATGAGGAAGGCGGGTAGTTGACATGCTCGCCTTTGCCAAGCGACTTGGGCACGCAACTCGCACGCAACCCTTCGAAATCCTTCTCACCTGCCCTTAAGGTTTAAGCTTAAAGCTCCCTCAACGGCGACGATTGGTGGCCAGCGTGCTAGTGGAACGAGCCGATCTGCATGGCCCGGGGTAGGCCATGCTAGACCCCCGAATGTCACCCCGCGCGGCGGTTAGGACCCAATTCAGTCCGAATAGTGGCCTGCAGCTTACTGGCGATGGTTCTGATTTACCCAGGGCCATCGGGTTCTAGAACAAACGTCTGTATTTGGGAGGCCGCAGGGACTTTTGAAGCTATTCCTGAGTCCAAAGAAGTCGCCTGGCTTCTTGGGCGTCAACGTTCGGGTTGATGTATATGGCTTTGGTCGACCACTCTATCAAGAGGCAAGTAAAGGTTGGGGCGGAAGCAACTCCGCAGAGAGGGGGGATTTCACAAAAGGCAGCTCGATAAGATGGTGATTAATTGCCAAGGCTCTAAAATGCAGGCCAAGGACAAAAGCGAGTTTTCAGTCCAATTATCCCAGCTGCCAAGAATCGCTGACTTGTGGTCATGATTATCCAGTCTCAGTGTCAAAAGAGTCAAAGTCGATGCGGATATTCCTTCATCGCTCGAGCGCAATCATCGCAGCAGCACAATAGACACCCAGTGATTCCACCTCGCTCCCTTCACGGTACATCAAAAGCTTCCTAGTTCCATTGCCGGTCTAAATTTAGACAGACGGGAAGTGATTTTGTGAGCCTTTGGGTTAATTGAGAGTAATTTCGGTCCAGATTGGCAAGTATGTAAGTAGGTCAAGCCCAAGTTATCTAACTGTCCTCATCGTCGCTCGAATGAATATTTGCCGAGTCTTGAAAATTGACTCCCTGGGCCGTGAAGCGTTCCGTCAGGTACCGCAACTTATCCTGTGGCATCTTCTTTCCATGTCGCAGTCCACACTCCAGCACTCTCAGCTCCGGCAGGATTTCCGATACCCTCTCCGGCAATGCTTCCAAATCTTCATAAAATGGGCCATTCTTCAAATTCGTCAGTGTTAGCTTTTTGAGGCTACAAGGAAGAAGCCCTGCGAGGGCCTGAACTTTCACAGGATCATAAGTCGGTGATCCATGTAAGAAATAGCCTCTACCCCAGAAGCACATCCCGTCAAAATCCAGATCCTCCAGTTTGTCGAGCCCCTGAATCGAGGTAAGAAGACCAGGCAGAGGGATATCAGAGTCCTGGCTCGGCTCATGGCAGTCCCAAGAATTGAAGTGCAGCGTCAGCTCTGTGATCCCCAGGTTAAGACCGCAGAGGGCATCTACCACCTCTTGGGGTCGGCACAGCTGGGACGTGCCCCCCATTCGCATCGGGCGGTAGCTTGATGTGAACCAAAACTTCTTGAGGCCAGGAAAACCGCTCAGGAGTTTCTTGAGCTCGGCAGGACTCAAATCTACTTGGGTTAAGATTAAGACTCTGACGCTGTTGAATTGCATGCCGGATTGAAGTCCGCAAACGGAACTCAGCCAGAGGCTGTCTAAAGCCGGAGCAGCCTCTGCCAAAGAGTTGACCTGATCCGCTGGACCGTTCAACTCGATGTAAGCATCTATCAGATTAGGCAGCAGCGGAACCCTGAAGTGAGTTCTGACCGCCTCTTCAAGTGTTTTAAATGCGTTCGAGCAGCCGTGGACATTGTACTCTAAACTTCGGAGGTTGGGTGTATGAGCAACAAGCATTTCTGTCATGAAACAGCTCAAGTGCTTGCAAACTCCATGATTGATACCAAACTGGATATCTGGCACCGTTTCTAAAGGCCTCAACTGTTCGTAAAGCCGAGTAAGAGCTTTTGGTGGTGTGATTCCGAAGTCGTTGGTTGCCCGAATGATAATACCGAGGTCTTCTTTAGCCATTTGCCCTTTTCCACCGAATAAGCCCTCAATATCTTTGACCTCAAAGGCAATTTTAGAATTCGTGACAACCGTTCTAAGGAGGCCTATCCGGCTATCTGTAGTGTTCTTGTCGAAGATGTTTGAGTAAGGAGGCGTCATAAAGAACAGTCGCTCGAATATGTGTGGGACCGTGATAACCCGAAATCTTCTCGAGGTCAATGATAGTCTCAATATGTGCGAACCTCCATTTTCATTCAATTGAATACAGATTTGGGAAAGAATCTCTGTCGGAAGGTGCTCTAGGCTTGTCGATGTAGCCATTGGGGGCTTGGTGTGCGATTGACGGCCCCTTGCGGCTAGGATCTTGAGCTGAGAAGTTTGAGACTACCTTATTGAGAAAAGCTGCAGAGTCACGAAAGTGATTCAACGTCTTTCCTGAAATTCAAGTGATTTTGAGCCTTAAATGCCAGATTTCATCATGTCCTCCAGAAAACTCGGTAACTTTCCAGGAGTTCTAGTGAGCCTACGGCTGCCTATTCGACCCCGCTGTGACCGTGTGACGCCTACGTACTAAGAGCCACTCAGCCAATAACAAGCTTTCATATCACATGGTCTTTTGGTGAGTCATCCGAACAGATACTGGTCTTTGTTCTTAATAGGTGATTGCAAATTTCAAGGGTCTTGCCCGAGTAAAAGCTGGTGCAGATGACTCTTGGATGCGACTTGGTCACCAGTACGCTTCTTTCATCATTGAACCTGTTTCGATGACAAGAATTGGTTTCTTCGATGTTTCGTAGAGAAGTACTGATACTGAAGACAAATTTATCTTTTAGTCTTCAATTATCAAACGATTCAATGTTTTCCATATCAGCCTAATTCAGAAAGAATCCATTCTTCTTCAGTCATCGTCTCAATGGAAACCGGCAGACCTCCATCATCCAAGTTGACATACACACATCCATTTAGCCTCGAAACATCGAATTTAAAAGTGAGACCAAGTAAAACAAACTGTTTTCTAACCTGCCGCAGTTGGTCCAAGAGACCTTGAGACAACGGACCACCAAAAAGCAGTTTGTTGTGAACTAGTTGCAACTCAGGGCAGCAATCCCCAAGATTGCGCGCAAAAACGGGCAGGGCATCATGGAACGGTCTAGGGCTCTTGTATGTGACGCGCAAACTCCTTACGGCTCTTGGTAGAAGATTGACGAATATTTGTTCCGTCCCATTTCCTTGATCCTTGCCAGCCGATCCCTCAACTGCGTCTTCCCACAAGCACACACTGTCAAGCTGTAAATTCATCAAGGCTGTGAAATGCTTTAGAGAGGTGATGAGCCCCGAATTGGGCTGATTCTGATCCGTAGTCGATGGCTCTCTTCTCCGGCCTGCCCACGTGTTGGAATGGAACTTTAGAGAAAGTCCTTCCAATTGTGGTTCAAAGCTCTCCAAAGCGTCAACCACATCTTGCGGAGCACATCTCTCGTCTCTGAGAGAATAGTAATCGTACTCAAAGTTAGTTAAAGCGGGACACCCTGTCAAGATGCCCCTGAGCTCTGAGCCCGTGAAGTTTGATGAGCTTAGTCGGAGATCCTTGACCTTTTCAAAGTGCCAGCCTTCCATCGGTGCCGTTACGCCCTGTATACGGAGGGTTTGAAGATTGGGAGCCATCTCACTCAGTGGCCGTAGAAAGGTGCCGGGCCCGAATAGCCGCAGGTGGACGTTTTTCAACAAAGGGAACATGGGCTGGCGGTGGAACGAGGACGAGTCTTGAATCGTCATTAACACTTGGAAGGCATTCCGATAGCGGCCTATACTATAGTCGAGTGTGAGGATGTTGGGCGTATGTGCGATGATGAGTTCTGCGAAGAACGCACGCACAGTGACGAGCCGCTGCATATCGTCGTCACTAAGGGCCCAGCCCCGCCTACCCTCGAGAGAAGGATGAGCACCGCCGAGGCGGAGTAGTTCCGGAACCGGGACGTCAAATTTGGAGGCTGTCTGAAGGATGAAATCCATGTCTTCCTCGTTGATGGCAGGCACGGCGCCCCGTGATGATGGACAATGGACACTAGAGACATGCGCGGCGATTGTTGGTTTGGTGACTATGGTGCGCAGTAAGTTCGCTCGGGTATCGCGAGTTGGACGAGGGCTAGATCTTCGAGGTCGACGTCTCCCCGTACTTGTCGTGACGGTGATATGTTTGAATATGATGGGGACTGAAATAGCCCGCAGATATTTTGAAGCCTGAGAGATCGACAAGAGTCCCGCTTGGTCGTCTCCGAGTGATGTACAGATCGCAGTCAACACCTCTGGAGGAAGATTTTCGAGCTTGGTAGCTAGCATACTGCGTAAGCACAGTGTATCTATTCAGGCAAATGTATGTAGCAGAAATTAAATGGCTCAAGACCGTTGAATGAGAACGGTTGTTGTCAGCTAGAAGTTCATGAGAATGAGGAATAAGCTTCCAGCCTGCTGAAGATTGCTGCCTGTCTACCCCACTTCAGTAAGCAGCTAGCCGTGCCTGGACACAGTTAGCTCCCCTGTGCAACTCGAAGATGTGATGCAACGCTGATTCCCTGTCGTCTTCTGAGTGAGTAGGTAAGGTACCTAGCCCTCTCCGACTGGCTATTACACTGGAGGCCTTTGCGTCAAGATATTGGAATTGACATCCTTGATTGGAACCTGCGCTAGCTTCAAAGGTCTCTGAGTCTTGACCTCTCCACGACGGATGGATTCCCTAAGTTCGGACGGAGTCAACAGCTGATTGAATCGAACGAAACAAGAAAGTGGTATTTATTTGAAGATCCGACTACCATTTCGTAAAGTGAAACAAATATGAATTCATTAGAACACTGTTCCCTGACGCCGATTCCGTGTATGTCCGTACTCCTCTTCCCTGCCTCCAAATTCCATTATTCCCAATCCTTTTCTACTTTCCACGCATCGCTGGGCCTCAATCCAGCAGCACCGAAATCGCAACCTCTATGGCCCCATTTCCGACGAAAGGTTTCCCGTCCGGCCTCCGTCATGACGTCTATCCCAATCTGGAATCCAAGGGCATCATATGAATAAGGCTCCCGTGCATCTCCTCCCCTCTGACCCAACTGCCAAGTATTCCTCTCGCGATCCGCATGCTTATGGTTGAACATATCCTGGCTGATTCTGTGCAGCCTTCTGAAAGATGTCAAAGGATCGACAGCCGTCGTTGAATCCTCCTCCACGCCATCAGCCGCATCGTCCACCGGCGCTCCCGTCTCATCCAATTCCGGAACAGCGTCAGGTACCGGCAGGCTCCGCTTGTCGTCTTCCAGGGGGACCTCGCCTAAAACCTTGCTCTGTGGTGGGTTCGGATCCGTGAAGCCAAACCCCTCGGGAACCTCCCCCTCGCGGTACAGGACGCGTAAGTCATCCAGCACTGACGCAACATCCTGGACGATACCCGCCTGCGCCTCTTTGATGCTCCATCCCGCCTCCTCGAGCCGCCAATGCATGTCGCAGTCAGTCATGTAGTACGGGATGAACGTGTCGAAGCCACCGACGTCTTCGTAAGCGCGCGGGTTCACCAGGGCGAGGTGGTCGTATGCGAAGAAGCGTGCGCCCCACTTGTGATCTGATCGCATCGTCTCATTCAGCTCCTTGACGGCCAGCTCGTAGATGGTCTGGTACTCGGGCGTGCCGACCGCACCAGAGACTCCTGGGATTCCTTCCTCGCTGGAGAGGACGAAAGCGTCCATGTGGCTCCAGAAGTAGTACGACCACGGCTTCTCCTTTGCCACTGTGATGAAGAAATTCTGGAGCTGCGCAAAGTTGAGCAGGACCGGCGTGCGCATGACGTGAACGCCGAGCATGTGGAGCTGCGTGTAATTGAGATAGAACGGGTTTTGCAGCGATAACCGGCCCCGAGCATTCGAATCGTGAACGCCGGTATTCTCCACGACATAGATCTGCTCGGCTGGCCACCCAGCGGTGATGTATCCGACAACTGTCTGCAGCAGCATCGGCCAACTCCGCGTGAAGCCGATCATCAGGGGCGGCGCGGTCGTCAAGGAGTATTTGTGGTAGACGTTGGGCTTTTCGGGTCTATTCCACGATGGAACCGGCGGCGGCATGCCCGAAGAGAGGAGCGGGAAAGGATCTTTGACGGGTGGTGGTGTCCATGTCGGTTGCGGCTTGTATTTGGGTTTCGGTGTCGGTGTCGATGTGAGGCTGTTGATCTTTGGTGGTTTCGCATCGGCCACCTTTTCAATGACTGTGTATCCGAACTCGGTTTGGACGAAGAAGAGTAAGAGGCAGATTGCCAACAAGACGTAGATGATGGGGACGTTCCGACTGGATCTTGAACCCGTCATTGAGAGCATCCGAGGTGCTGGCATCGACAACATCGTGAGTCTATGGTTGATGAATTCGATGTGAAGAAAGGGTGAAATCCGAATCGCCGTGGCGAAATCTAACGACCGTTGGGCGTTTGGTGGGAAGCGGTCGCGACGGGTCGAACTTGCAGCTAGTTGCTCTAGTGTCTTGTAAGACACGAAGGGTGACGTGTTCGCGTTGTCCAAGATAAGTGATACGAAATGGACGGATATACGGCAACAAAGGCGTTGCGCCTCATTCGCTGGTTGAAAACAAGAAGCAGAGACGTTCCCGTTTGTGGTTGGTGACGTCGGTCTGAGAGCCGGTCTGTTTGACGTCGTGATACTCTTGTGTAAGGAAGCAATGCTGTTTTCCTCCCCAGCTTCTTACACGTCCGTTCCACAATGCCTTGTTTGCGTTACACGCTGATTCGGGTCTCTCATGAACAAGTTGATAAGGAATTCGCTTGCGTTGAAATCGAATTGAATGCTGCTATCCGCTACATTCGGAGGGTTGAATACATATGGTGATAAACCTGACGTAGAATGCCGTTATGCACAGAGTTGGGACAGTATGGTTGAGGGCGGCGTCTTTGAGAAGTATGGGACGAAGGAAACCAGAAACGAATTAGATAATAACACCTGACATTATCCAACAGAAAATGACAAAAGAGTTCCTTCGTTTGACGAGCGGACGGAAAACGGAAACCAACAGAATCACCCCCTTCGGCAAAGATTGCAAAAGAAACGCTCCGGGCGATAAGCAAACAGACTTTTGAGTGAAGGAGAGCATGTGTTGAACGGGGTTTGGGAGAATGTTTGTAGACGTCACCGCCACACAAACAATCCATACCCACACCAACACTCACCACTTCCAACGCCAACGCTAAGCTCCAACACCAAAACCAGACTGCTAGCGAAGAGCTAACATCAGATGTTTCAAAACACCAGAGCCACGCGTTTCCCTTCCCCCCCAAAGCCCCGGGGTTGGACCTTGGCGGGTGACGCTTTGACGGGCCCGATTGACCGACGACGGGGCACGTCCCCCCCAAGCTACAGGCTACGAGGATGAAAGGGGCTCTCGGCGGGGACCCGAAGTGGGAGGACGTACGGCTCTTGTGGGCGCTACCGTCTAATCTTAGAAAAGCTTGTTTTCGATCGTCACTAGGTTGTTCCTCGTCGCGAGGAGCGGACGGGGTGAATGTCGGGCCACGAACGGTAGTCCTAGGTTTCGCTGGATGACTGGGAAGCTCAGTCGGTCGGAGTGAACTTGTGCACCCTTTTTTCCTTCCCTTTTACTAGAGTTCTACAATGTAACGAGCAGCTTCCTTTTCGAGAAGGCTTCTCGTCCGGTCTATCGCACTCACTGGACTTACGAGAACGAGGCGATTTTGAGGCGGAGGAGAGTTAACTGAGAGTTGTATGAGTTGAGGCATCAGCTCCATGTAGATCATTGCGAACCCTGACTCGGGACAGAGTATCTCTATACAGTGGACCAGTAACAGCGGAATGCAAATGCAAACCCAGTCACAAAGTATATTGGTCGCTCTTTACAAGACTCCCGTGGACCCGTCTAATGATCAGCCGCTGCGGCGCTCGCCACCCCACCTCAACGCTTAAAGTCATGGTTCCAACTTCAGTAGGATATGCCGATGGTGATTGAGGCGGCTTTCTGTTACGGCTGAAAATGTAAACGATCCTATACGTCACTGAAAGAAGAAACGTTACGTTGGGTGTTTATAGAGAGGCAAGACATCTGAATACCTTACTTAGGTCCAACGCTGAGACGGTGTCATCGGTGTTAAGCCATATGAGAAGAGAAGTCGAGGGGTATCAAATCTATTGAGAGTCAAACAGTCGCTAACAGGATTCTACTATTCGTACATGTAGCAAAGCGGCGCCCCAGAAACCGTGTTCATGAGGTCCTTGATCTTTACTGGCGAGTTGAGAGGCGTGAGGTCAATATCATCCTCGACACTGCCCTCAGGGCTTTTTGGGTTATCCTGAAGAGTCATCGTACCAAACACTCCCTGGCGATTCTTCAAATCAAGGTTCTGCCAGATCCAGTACACACGATCGACCTGGGCTTGATGGACCCAGAATGCCGGGTCGCCGGGTGCGATGACACCATCCGCCCCGGGATCGCCACCAATAATGAAATGACCACCGCCGTGGATTCCCAGGGTATTGGGGAAGAAGCGGTCGTCTCCTTGTAATAGCGAAGAGAAGTTCTTAATGTTGGTCTGCTCGAGAATGAGAGTCGTCGTGTTCCTGAATGAGTTGAACCGCTGGGCCACATCCTTGTTCAGGTCTCGCTTCAGACATCTAGGCAGGTCTTGTAGGGGATCTGTGACGTTGAAGGGCTTCGTGGTGCCGTATTGCGCGAGTGCGGCGGGACCAATGTGGACGGTCATGTTCTGGAAGGGGCCTGACTTGATGCAACCTCCTCCGGTCCCGGGTTTGAGTTTGATGGTGTTGTTTGAGAAGGGCTGACGTAGTTGCAGGCCATCGTGGGGGATGAACTCGCCATCACTTCCTAGTGAGAGCTCGGTGCCGTCAAAGAGGGGTGAGGCGGCTGGGTTGTTTACGTCGAGTCCCCATTCCCAGTATGGAAGAGCACCTATTGAAATTAGCTTCGCGAAAGTTGCCATGGCAAAAACCATACACCGAAGTGCGAACCTTTGTATCTACATTGAGTGCGCAGTCTTTGCTCGAAGCTAGCCAAGTAATAACGATGCCATGCAAAGAATGAGGCCTAGAGTAATCGTTAGCATACAAATCACGAGGTAGGTATTATGATGTATGTCGTATCATGGCAAAGACTTACTGTAAGATGTGTGTTGCGGAAGCTAGTGTAGTGAACAGCTACAAAATCGTCATACAGAGACTTTGCCATCGGCACTCTCTTGGGATCCGATATGACCGGCTCGTTCATAATGCATTGCACGGCGGTTATGAAGGACTTTCTTTCCGTGACAGTCAACTTCCGCCTATCAAGAGATTAGTAATCGCCCCTGGGAACCCAAGAGGACGGAGTTCATCTACTCACCATTCTTTCCTCATCAACACGCCTTCTCCCTGGCACAACCTCGTACCATTGGTCGTAATGTTGGATATTGGATGTTTCTGTGGCACATTGATCCTCCGCACATTCTCGAGTGCCCTCTTGTTGAGTTTTGCCAGAGCCGTTCCATTATTAATCTCCTCCTCTGTGAACTTGGGCTTCGCCTTTGGTGGATTCGGCTTCGGCTTAGGCGCCGGCGGTGCGATGGGCACCGGCGCAGGAGGTGCTTTTGGTATTGAAGTTGGAGTTACCGTTGGCTTTGGCTTGGGACCTGGCGGTGCTATCGGAACAGGCGCTGGGGGAGGCTTTGGTCTTGGCCCTTGAGATACGGATGGTCTCGGTATTGGGGCCGGCGGCGGGGCTAACGTGTCTGGTTTCTTCTTGTGATGAGCATTACCGGGCGTAGTGAGTGTGAGAAGCACGACGATTGCTCCAAACAGCCAGGCCCAACGCTTGCAGGAAGTCATCACGCCTGGCGACTAAGCTAGGAGGATACTGACTGATGCTGAGCAATATTCACCGCAAACGAAAGATTATAGAATCAGAAAGACATCCAGCATCAGTCCCTAAGAGGCAGGAGACAGGAAATTGGGGCAGGGAAGATTGACGATATAAGAAGACAAGAGCGCAGATCCTAGCCATCGGCTAGTTTCAAGCAGCAAAGACTAGGCAAAGTATAGGGAACTACCATATTGCGATGAGACAGAGGTTATTTGTGCATGGATGGGTAGGCTGACCCTGTCTTAGCCTGAGAACTATTGCCTATGATCTGGTGAACGGGTGTCATTGGCTGTGCGTAGCGTTGAGAGTCTTGGTTGGCAAACGTTATAATAACCTTTTGCTCCCCGCTCAAGGGCCGTGCCTGAAGATGGTCGCTTCGGCGGCGGCACCACCGCCCTGGTACATCTCGCTTGCCCGTTGACAGCTGCCGGTAGTGCATAGTGACTTTCGGCAAAGGGGAACGGCGTGGGTTCGATCGGCACACTTCTCGGCCGCGCTGGTTCCCGAAGGGAGGAATGGTGAAGGGGCTGAAGGCTAAGCTACGAAGCCAAATATGAGCTTGATGTCTGCGGTGTTCGTCGTAGCTTTGAATTCATGATACCAGCTTGAACTGAGTTCTCAGACAGTTGCAGTAGCTGAAATGAACCTAACAGGTGAAGCGTAGGAGTAGAGCTTGTTTAGTCGCCTGCCTTGGGTAAACCAAGTTGAGGCCAGAGACTGTCCTGGGTTTGCGCGCAACGTATTTCGGCAACGCGAGACAACATGCCCAATACTGGTAGAGCGCCGTTTCCCGCGAGACTTGACATCTTGGCGAGAGTTTGTGCCTAAGCAATTGAAAGGTTCGGGCGGCAAATCTAAATGCCTCTCAGACTGCTTGAGCGAGCTCATGATCTTGCGGAATTCAGCGGAAGAACAAAGTTGTTGTGACTAGAACAATAACCCGTATCAGTCGATGACGGCAGGACGGCAGTGCCATGTGTAAAGTGGGATGATGAAGACCCAAGCGCAAACAGATGCCCAGAGCGTTGAAATGATGGGCGAACCCCGACGAAGTCGCGAGAGATCATGCCCGGCTAAGGCATAGAACACGGGGTGTCTTGGATAGTTCATCAGTTTTAGCTTAACAGAACGTGAAGACAGAGAGTTGGGGAGGGTTCGGTAGAGTTTCTAAGATCATGATGTCTATTCCGAACTAGCCTGGATTGTACCCTGGAACGCCCGTCTCGGTCTCTGTTGTTAAAGCGGACGCCTTCGTGTCCTAGAATGAGACGTAATCGGTGAAGCAAAAATGGGAAATATAACCGTCCAGGACTTTCACAACAGCTTGTCTAGACTAAAACGTCCGGCCGAGACTTAAGGAACCACACCCGAGGCGACATCTCGGAACCCCGTTGGCTTGTTCGTGGACCGAGGCGGTCACATTCGCATGCCGCGGCAGACGCAACCTTGAGACGATCCATGATGAGAT